CAATGGGCTGAGGCCAACTGTAGGAGTTTCAAATGGCCAAATGCCGGGGGCTGCCCTTGGGCCACAACAACCCCCAGCAGGCTTGGGGAGGCGTGGCTGGAGAGCTGCCAGTCAGAGAGGGACCTGGGGATGTTGATTGACAGCCAGCTGAACAGGAGCCAGCAGTGTGCCCAGGTGGCCAAGAAGGCCAATGGCATCCTGGTTTGCATCAGCAATAGCGTGGCCAGCAGGGACAGAGAAGGGATCTTACCCCTGTACTTGGCACTGGTGAGGCTGAACCTTGATTCCTGTGTTCCATTTTGGGCCCCTCACTACAAAAAGGACATTGAATGACTCGAGCGTGTCCAGAGAAGGGCAACACAGCTGGTGCAGGGTCTGGAGCACAGGTCGTATGAGGAGTAGCTGAGGAAACTGGGGATGTTTAGTCTGGAGAAGGGGAGTCTAAGGGGAGTCTGAGGGGAGACCTCATTGATTTCTACAGCTACCTGAAAGGAGGTTGCAGAGAGCTGGGGATGAGTCTCTTTAACCAAGTAACACAAGTGATAGGACAAGAGGAAATGGCCTTAAGTTGCACCAGGGAAGGTGTAGACTGGATATTTTGGAAGCATTTCTTAACAGAACGGGTTGTTGGAATGGGCTGCCCAGGGAGGTGGTGGAGTCTCCATCCCTGGAGGTGTTTAAGAGCAGAGCTGACATACCGCTGAGGGATCTGGTGTAGTTGGGAACTGTCAGTGTTTGGTTAATGCTTGGCCTGGATGGTCTTCAAGGTCTTTTCCAACCTAGATGATTCTGTGATTCTGCTGGGGGTTGTTTTTGCTGTCCTGTTCTTCGTGTAGTTAGTAGCCTTGGAATAGAAGGAGCCTTTCTTCAGCCTCCTGGTTATGTTGCTGCTCCCCATATATTTTATTTTGCCACTATTTGGATGTCATAGATTGACTGGGAGAATAACTTATCCCATATGTCTCCATCAGTAAAAAACATGAAACCTCAGCATCCTTCACTTAAACATAGTGAGCATGCATGTTAGCCAAATCTCTCACTTAAAAATACTCATATTGCACACCATTAAAATAAATCCTTGAAACAATAAAGGGAAGTGTAGCATTTGTTACTCTCCTGAGCCATTAATGATAATTGATCACAAGGGAAATGGGTTTGGAACAAACCCTGGTCTCTAAGGGGTGTGTGCTTCCACTTAAAATGCTGTTTATGGATGACAACCAGCCCACTTGAATGAAAGCATCTGGTTCTCATGGTGCAGTTGGGCATGCAACTGGGATTCGTGGTGTTAGCTTGTGCCTGTGCCGCTGCCTTCTCGTTAACGGAAGGTGAGATTTGTGATAGTGCCGCCATCTAGTGGCTGGCCCTGATAGAGTACACAGGCTGGATTAAGCTATGACACTACACATGTAATAGCTAGTTTGTGCCTGGATGAAATGACTTGGTAATTACAAGTCTTTTCACCAAGTTGCTTCCTCATCTTGGCAAATGCTTGTCTTAATCTCACATGTCCACTTCCCTTGCATCATCATTGCCTTTTTGTCTACTCCTTGCCTCGTGGAAAGAATGCCCTCTATCTCAGCTGTAAAGCCAGTGTCTCCTTCTGCTTTAGGCTTATTCTTTCTGTGAATCCTTGAGAAAATGGCCACAGAGTAAGGGATAAAGTTAAAGAGCACTTGTGTTAGATATGTGTGCACTTGGGCAAATAAATTGCATATAAGGCCTTCTCCTCCTATGCCCATTCCAATTTGTTTGCCTTTATAAGACCCCATCCAGTGACATTTGGAAAAGACATGATTTTTTTATGTATTTCTGTGTATACAAACACATGCCAATAGTTTGTACCACCCTAGAGATGCCAGTGAAATACAATTAGCTGCTTTCACTATACTAGTCCCGTGGCAAATCTGAGCCATCTCTGTTTTCCTAAGCAGTAGTTTACATTTTAAAAACAAAAAAAAGATCAGGGGAAAATAGATAAATACATTAAGAATTTATGATATGTTGTTAGATGAATCCTCAAACACAGCAGGTTGTTATTTTCTTAATATATATATTTTTTTAATATCAGCTAAATATCTTGTTCTCTTTCTCTCGGCCTCCCTCATTTATTTTAATCATGTCAAATGCTGACATATGCACATATGTCTTCTCCTCTTTGAATCATGGTATGGCTGCCATGCTTATCTTACCAACATTTATATCCTCATCTAAATTAACTTTTCATAAATAATTACTAATCACTCATGAGACCTTGCCAACTGCTCCAGTCCCACAAAGTGACCTGACTTGAAACCCCAAAGTAGTGAGAAACATTCATCTCAAGAGTATTTTCATAGGCAGTACTTCAAAGGAATTGTGGTTTGAAAATATGCAGCTATTTTGGTGACCATTTGTGTGGGATAAAGTTTCCCATCAGTAATATCAGGACTGTAATTGAGCTTCAGGGAGAAGGGAGTTCAGGGGAGCAGTCACAACACCTTTTGCCGCATTCTGCTCAAGCCGTCCCCAGAAGTAAACAGTTGTCTTCGTTAACATATCATGGACTGAATTTGCAGCAGAAATACTGTAAATTTCTGATAATTTGCAGAGGATGAAAAATTTCTTTGGCAAGTATGCATGACTCCTGCTCAGTTAGGAGGAATGTTATTTATCTTCTGACCAGGTGTAAAGAGTGGTCCAGCAGTGTAACTGATGAGCAGTGCCTTGAAGGAGCAAAGATAGGAACTGAGGAACATGGGCTGCAGATCTGCAGCTTGGAGCTCTGTTCTGGACAGATTAACAAGTGGCTCTCATGCGTGGAAGCTTAGGATGATGAAGCTGGACACGCAAGAGCAACGTTTGAATGGTCCTGTCCATCCGTATTTCTCTCGTTACCCAGATGCATCTAATCTTCAGGGGGTGGGAATTTAGACTCACAAAATACAATTGTAGATTTAAGTTGGGGAATCCTCTGCTCCTTGGTGAACAGCTTACTTTAATATGGGAAAAATGAAGCAGGGTGGGTTCTTTGTTCATTCCTAGCTTTTTGGTAAAGGAAGGAACTTAGCTAGAAAAGTTACCATTTAGGTGATAAAGGCAACTTCTCTGAGATACAGAGGTCTTGACCCATTTACAAAAGGCTTGAAGTGGCAGTCCACACTAAGGTTTTTCATAGTTTTTGCTAGGTGTATTTGCTAGGATGATTGTTCTTATCTAACTTTACTGGGGAACAATAATACAAAAATACAGATCCTTCCACCTGTTAGCAAGGATAGCATTAGTTGAAATTGCGACACTTACATGCTAGTATAGATGCACATTTTGAATTTTTGGTCCTGTTATGAAGCTATTGATTAGTCCATAAATCAAAGCTGATTCTGAGGTAGCTGTGCTATTACAAGTTAAAGAGCTGCCAAGCTAGCAGTGAAGTACATGAAGAAAATGGATTTTAGATATTTTGTCAGCAATTGGGAATGTGCCTGTCATCTTTTACGCTAAGTGTGTTCTGTCCTGAAAACCCTAGTGTTCTGCAATACTGCCTTTTTGTATATTTCCTCTCATTGTCAATAAGATATAAGATTTCATTGCTGATTTCAGATGTGTTGGGCAAACACAAAGTTTTTAATTTTCAGTATATCAGGTATGCAGTAGATGAAGATAAGACTTTTGACACCCTTTGCTACAGACTCCAGCATTAGTGAAGTGCCCTAGAATTCCCAAAGCCTTAAATAAACTGTGTTCTTTCTCATTGACCCTTAGGCAGTCTGGTTTTTGTAGCTTCACTGGCGGTTGTGATGGTTGGGGGCAACAAATGGAAGAATCTAGTACTTTCAAGATATTTGCAGGCTTCAAGGACATGCTTCAATATAACTACTAAATTTTTAAGAAAGTAAATTGAAGTCTGAACAACTTGTTAAATAGAAGAATCAATAAAATTGTACTGGCTTTTAGTGCCATTGGATAATAGAAGTTTGAAAAAAGCCCCTAGGAATTAAGTTTTAGCATCAGTAAGGGTTTGTTGGTCCTTTGAATCAAAGCTGGCAGGACTGTCTTACCTAGTCTAAAATTTATTTGACAAGTCTGGCTGAAGCACAGGATATGAATCAGAGCAGAATGAGTTTGTCTTCACACCATCCTCAGCGAACAAGTTCCAGGAACTGGTGTGTATAACCAGACCTATTTCTTCCTTTAAATTTGTTCTTCAGGTTATTCAGTAAGCTGGGACAAGCTTTTTGCCTCATTAGTTTGGTCTAAGTAGTGAACAAAAACTTATCCTCCTTTTCTTCCCATTTCTTCTGGTGGGGTTCTTCAACAGTTTGAAACCTAAATGAACTAAGAAGCAACAAGGTGCTTGTTTAATGTCCTATATACCTAGCAAAATGGATCCCTGAACTTTGTTGCTGCTTTCAGATAGTGCCATAATGCAAATAATAACTCATTGGTTCTTCTGCTTGCAAAGGAGTACCTCCACCTCTTTGTCTCCCTTCTGTGCCTTCTTTCTTTTTAATGAATTATTTTGTGTGATGTATTAATATGATACATTCAGCAAAACAGATGAAATACTACAGAAGATTGCTGTGAAAGTTGTACCTCTGTCTTGTGCAGGGAGGTACGATCACGACCTTCGTAGGCTCAGAGGAAATGATGTTTGTGGTCTGTTTTAGTTACTGGTTTTCAGTTGTCTGGAACCATTGGGCCATATATTTAGCAGAGGTGTGTTGTTTGCAGTGGTATACCAATGTAAGCTTTATGCAAAAATAGCTGATATCTCCTCTTCCACAAAAAGGGGGTTCTAGGGGATTGATGTATAACTATATATTGTCAATTCTGGTTAGACTATGTTGAATTCTTTGGATTATTCTGCTGGAATAAATTGAGAGGAAGGTTGGCCTGGACTTTTGTTTTATTTTACAGAATAATTTATCTAAGTGGCTTTTTTTGAAGTGGAGGATCTAGCTAGATGTTTAAGTAGTGTAAAGCAGTTTCTAATTTGTTGTATTTTTCCTCTCTTATGACAGTGATTCGAGCTAAAGTTGTGGGGAAGAAGCTCATGAAAGATGGACCATTTGGAACTATGCGGTACACAGTCAAGCAGATGAAGGTATATTTGCAGACATTTCATGTAGGCTTGTAGATATGATAATTATTCTAATTAACATGTAATAATGAACATGCTTTACATACTTAAAATAACAGCACCTCAACTTTTCATGTTGGTCAGTTAGAATGGAAGGTAACCAGCAATTGGTAGAAATTTGTCTGGAGAAGGGAAAGGAACAGAAGAGGTCATTCCTGACATACAGTGCTTAATACCTGAATTCTTCCTTTATTTTTAAAATTTCTGGTAGTAAAAGATGCCAGATGGGCTTCTTTAGATACTGGAGTCCTGTTTGTGTTCAACATACACAGTGTTAGAGTGGAGATGCAAGATTTTCCATGCAACGCTTTCATTAAATTCAAGATGGTAGGGGGTCTGCCAGCCTTGGGAGAGTGGTCTTTCATCTCTTTTTTCCTTGCATTCTTTGTGACCACCAGTTAGAGTGATGACATTTTTTTTTATATCTACAAACAAATGAAACTTGTAGAGTGATGTCTTTATGTAAAGCTAAATCACTGCAGCTTTCAAATATCAATAGCTCAGAAGAGCTGTACAGTATTGACTCAGAGATGAAGAAGTAGATCTCCTATACCAGTTGCTTGGTTTCTCTAGTTCCTCCCTTTAGAGTTCTAATTCTTTGCTGCACAAACTGCACTCAATCTGCTGCTTTGGACTTAGTTTTTTTGATTAAACCCCTTGTTATGTAATTCTAAAAATCAGCCCTAAATTGTTTTTCTTGGCTATGCCATTTGAGTCATAAGACTGGTGGGTTTTTTTGGTTTTTTTTGTTTGTTTGTTTTTTGTTTTTTTTTTTTTTAAAAAAAAAAAGGAAGCAAAAAGCTTGGCAGACTGCAGAAATCTGAAACGTATTAGACAAAGTAAAGGTTCAGAAAAAAACATTCACTTGCCTGCCTTGTAACAGTAACTCTCTTTATAAGGCAGTTTATAGCTAAGCCTGAAATCTGGGAGAAAACCTGTTCCATAAGGTGTTGCAAAACTGTGCATGTAGCCAAATCTGGTCCTGGCATGGCTCTTCCACTAGAGTGGAATGCTTGCACTTTCAATAAGAGGGCATGAGGTGCTGGATTTACTAATTTCCTTAATCTTAAAAATTTATTTTTAAGATTCGAAACAAAATATATATGTTGATTAACTTGTATTTGTAAAAACAAAAAGGCAACAGTGAGATAATGCTGCACTCTTTTTTTTTTTTTTTTTTTTTTTTTTTTTTTTAAATGGCTGTCCCTGACCTCAGCTGTTCTTGTCCAGTTTTGTCACGTTCTAGCTCAGCAGGCATACCCTGCTCCACAAAACTATTCAACATCCACATGCTGCAGTGTCATCTTCAACTTTTCTGATGTCGTCCCAGTCTGTCCAGGTTCCATACTTTACGTCTTAATCAGTTCCAAGAGTTTAGTGCTTCCTGTGGTGATCTAGAATAACAGTAGTCCCCAAAATTAAAAAAACCCCAACCATAACGCTAGACTCTCTCCTAACTAATGATGCAGCCTGCCCTATTGTCAGTCAATGAGTTGCAGTGTCAGAGATCTCTGGAACAGCATTAAGCATTCCTCCTCTGACCTAGGAGCCTGCAGCAGTGTCCCTGCTATGAACACAAAAGGCTTCTGTGTGTCTGCTGGCATGGGGAGGAGCATAAGGCCACAAGGTGAGCATGTTGAGTGGAGCAGCAGCCACTCTAATGTCAATAGACACCATTGTATCAATCTTTAAATAAGGCATGTGAGTCTGTCCTGGCTGTTTTCATTGGGCTACTTACTCTGCAGCACAGGGCCAGGGTGTTTACAGCAGATACTGCAGTAATCTGCAATGTCCGTGTGCTGAAACCACAAGAGAACAAAAAAAAATCCTTTTTGCAGGAGCAGTTCCACCGTGTTTTGTTAGGAAGCTACATGTCCAATAAATGCAAGAGTGATTTTTAAAGGGGAAAACACGTGCTGGTCAAACTGTCTCTGCCTGCTACATAGATGGTGGGCTGGTGAGATGTTGCATTGTACATTTAACTGTGACCTTTGGCAGGATGGAAACTGAAGCAAAGTTCACTAGAACTGGAATGTCTGAAGAACATAGTTCTTGGTAAATAAACAAACTGAGTGTCTTCTTTGAAAGCCTTCTGTCTTTCTGCTGAGCTTAGAGACTTCAGTATAAAGAGAGGTTCAGCTCCTTACAGTGGGGGAGATCAGAATGATGCAGTACATCTCTTGCTCTCCCCAGTGAAAGCTGACTGTCCTCCTCCTGAAAAGAAGACTAAGGAGGCCTATGGGTCTGCACAGTTGCATGGGAGCAACTCTGAAGATAAAACTACCACGTCAGTAGTTTTTGGCCACCTATAAACCCATCTGCAGATCAAAAATAAACAAGCCATTTATCAGTGTGTACTGAATTGCCTGTGAAAAGCATTGAGAGCCTTAAAAGGCAACAAACAACCTTTGTGTTTCTTTCATGTGTTCTTTGGAGCTTGCTGTGGTTGATTCTTGCTCTCACTAACAGTCCCAAACTAGTTGCTGAATTTCACAACTAATCTAGCTTGGGGCCTGGACTGGAGCACAAGGTCAGCCCACAGGCACAGAACAGTGCCAGGCTTTCTAGTGTTCAGGTTTGTTTTCTGAAAAGTTCCTGTGCTCTTTAAAGCAATCTCTGCCTCCCCACACTGCAGGGATATTTCAAGATCATGTGCCAAAAATCTGCACAGGACTGATCTAACCCCTGCATGTTCTGTGACACTGCAGTGCATTCTGAGAATGACCCAAACCTATTTTAGGAAACTGCGAAAAACCAAGGAGATAAGATATTTCTACTCCATGTGTGCAAATGGTCCTGCTTGACCATGGCAGCACTCTGCACAGGCTGCCAGAAGCAAGAAGTTTTTCCTTGGTTTGTTGCTAATGTGTAAAATGAGTCTGTGGGGTGAAATGTGATAGTCTCAAGAGGGAAGAAGTGGGATGGGATTAATTTAGTTTAATTTTAGACAGACTAAAATGAAGTATTGAGTCTTTACATCTCTCTTGATTGTCTATGGAAAGAGATAGGAACCACCAAAGTGTAATTCAGCCCACCAGTTGCAGACAGATATTTTAGGATAGGCTAAGTTGTTCTGGAGCTGCCTGTTCTTGGTGTTTGACTAGACAGGATGCCTAATTCATATGAAGCACCTAAACTTTAGGTGGCTGATACTTAGGCAAGGTAACCCCAAACCTTGGTATCTGGTGTGACCTCACATGGGAGGGATAGAAGGCAGGACATTGTATTACAAGGTGAAGTTAATCATGTGGCAGGAATCACCACAGGATTTGCATGTGCATTTCTGAGGCAGTATAGGAGCTGCGGAGGGGAATGCTGACACAGCTGGAAATGAAATAGCATGAGCAGACATCAGTCAGCATGTGACACTTGCTAGTATCTTGTTCCCTGTCATTATGCTTCTGAAAATACACATTTGTGGCAGAGGAGGACTCCAAGGTTAGCAGTTAGGGCAAAGGCTAGCATTATGGTTGACTTTCTTCTGACTGGTCTAATAGCACTTCCAGGATATTTTGTTCATCCAAAAATAATGCTTAAGGTATTGTTTTATTTATTTTGGAAGAGGGCATCTGTAGATTTCCCCCTTGCCAAATTTTCTTTTTTCTCCCCTGAGAACCAAGGTCATGGTCAATTTTCCTTAGTCATCAGAGAATGAGGCAGGCCCTTTCTGCCTCCAGCACTAGGTCTATTAGCATGACAGTTGCTAGCACTGATGAAGGTCACTGAGAGGTGAGTTGAAGTGCTTTATGAGAGGCTGAGTGTGCTTTCTTCAGCAACCCTGACAGTGGTGTCCCTAATGGTTATGTGAACAGGAAATTAGGTCCAGGAGTTGAAAACCAAACCCCAGTTCAGCATCACTATTTACTTCATAGGCAGTTACATTGAGCTTGATGCAGAAGATGTGGAGTGACAACTCTTAGGGTCCTGTAGGAAGGGCCTGAGCAGCTTCTCAGAGGAGTGATTATTCTAGCCTGTAGCCCTTTCTGCAAGGGGGAGAATGGGCTCAAAGAATGCCTGTGCACGTGTAGACTTTATAGCAGATACTTAATTAGCCCAACACTACTTGGAGCTTTGCACTCTGAGATGCAGATCACTTTTACTGCACATGCACAGCATACAACTCTCTGCAGTGTAGATAATGCATTGCCTGGAGATACTAGGCAGCCCCAGCTTTTATCTTAGCTAGTCTTATCTGCTTAGATGCTGTTATCATAGCTTCTTGATGTGACACCCACTAGAATGAGGTCTGAACACATGATCTTTATTCTATGTGCCTTTCCTCACAGTACCCTTTGGAAGCAAGGTAGAGCTGCTCTACCGATGAGGAACAAAAGTGTACTGAGGGTTAAATAACATCTAAGGACAGACAGGATGCTCATGCCAGAACCTAGATCTCCAGCTATCTTGAGCATATTTGAAAAATCTGAGTAGATCATCCATTCCAAGAAAATAGCATGGATAAAGTAGAGATTAGGCAAGGTTCAGCTATTCCATATTTACTGAAAGTCTTTGCTCGCTTATGGACACAGTGGTGTATTCCAAACATAATCTGTGAGCTTTTGTTGATACAGTATGATTAATTTTTTTTAAAATGCCTCCTTTTGCATATTTGCTGGGTGTAGAAGGAAGGTTTGGAAAATGCAAACTCTTTAGCATGTCTTCTACTTTACACAATAGTGCTATTACTGAGTTGTCATGCTATTATAAGATTATGCTGATTGGGGTAATATAACTAAGGGAAAAAAAAAAAACCTGGAAGACATTCTGTTGATGCCCAGAAGATAGTTTGACCTCTCAGCATACAGAATTAGTAGTAGGTTTTTGCATTTTTATATTCAAAACCTGGGCCTAGCATAAAATCTGTAAATCGACAGACATTCTTTCAGAAAGAAAAAGGTGTGTTGATTTTAAAGGAGGTGGGGTAATTGTGAAATACCCTGGGATAATAGGGGACTTCAAGAAATAGAATGCAGCCTGGAAGAGAATACCACAGTTTAGGTGACACAGCAGCAAGGATCTGTAGCTCTGAGTTTGGGATTTTTTTGTTCTCTTTTGCCTCACTTTAATATTTACAGATATACTGATCATAAATGTGCTCTCTATCAATAAGGCTGACAGAAAAGGATAGGCTGGAAAATGCTATGAAACTGTGATTCTCTCTGACTTACTGTTTTCCATTAGCTTTTAAATATTGACCATTCACAGAATCACAGAATCATCTAGGTTGGAAAAGACCTTGAAGATCATCCAGTCAACCACTGGCCTAAAACTGGCAGGTTCCAAATACACCATATCCTTAAATGCTAAGTCAACCTTACTCTTAAACACCTCCAGGGATGGGAACTCCACCACCTCCCTGGGCAGCCCATTCCAATGCCCAACAACCTGTTCTGTAAAGAAATGCTTCCAAAATATCCAGTCTAAACCTTCCCTGGTGCAACTTAAGGCCATTCCCTCTTGTCCTACCGCTTATTACTTGGTTAAAGAGATTCATCCCCAGCTCTCTGCAACCTCCTTTCAGGTAGCTGTAGAGGGCGATGAGGTCTCCCCTCAGCCTCCTCTTCTCCAGACTAAACACCCCCAGTTCCCTCGGCTGCTCCTCATATGACCTATGCTCCAGAACCTTCACCAGCTTCATGAAGAACCTTCTTTGGACATGCTTGTGCTCGAATAATTCAATGTCCTTTTTGTAGTGAGGGGCCCAAAACTGAACACAGTAATCAAGGTGCAGCCTCACCAGTGCCGAGTACAGGGGTAAGATCCCTTCCCTGCTGGCCACGCTATTGCTGACACAAGCCAGAATGCCATCGGCCTTCTTGGCCACCTGGGCACACTGCTGGCTCCTGTTCAGCCAGCTGTCAATCAACACCCCCGGGTCCCTCTCTGACTGGCAGCTCTCCAGCCACTCCTCCCCAAGCCTGTAGCGCTGCTGGAGGTTGTTGTGGTCCAAGTGCAGCCCCTGGCATTTGGCCTTATTGAAGCTCATGCAGTTGGCCTCAGCCCATCACTCCAGCCTGTCCAGGTCTCTCTGCAGAGCCTCCCTACCCTCGAGCAGATCAACACTCCCACCCAACTTGGTGTCATCTGCAAACTGACTGAGGGTGCACTCGATCCCCTCATCTAGATCATCAATAAAGATGTTAAACAGGAGTGGCCCCAAAACCAAGCCCTGGGGGTCACCACTTGTGACCGGCCGCCAACTGCATTTAACTCCATTCACCACAACATTTTGGGCCCAGCCATCCAGCCATTTTTTTCATATTAGTGGGGAAAAAAGAGAGACTGAATGCTTTGAAAAGATAACCAAATCTATAAGATAAAATTTTCAGGAAAATCATCCTCAGTGTTTCAAAAATAGGATATGTATAATTGGGTCCAATATACATTGTTTCATTGATATGCACAGACTTCATTATGCTACCAACAGGTAGGCGTGAGTTTCTCTAAATGGCAGCAGTAAGGTCAGGTCAGATCAGGACACATGCTAATTTCTGACTGAATTCAACTGCCAGTGTATTTCAATTAAACTGAACTGTAAGAAAGATTATGAAAAAGGAGGAGGAGTGTAGGGAAAGTATGCATATATATTTTCTTTATGGTGCCTATCAGTACTGGGCTTATTTTAGGAGATGGGGTAGAATTCTACTGTGGCGTTCATTTACTTAGAGAAACTTTAAAACCTTGCTGAGGTAAACAGGAGTTGTGCATGCTAGTTTTCTGAGGATGTGTCTGGCTGGATGACTTATATCAAGTGCCAAAGGCTTGAAACTCTTACAGCAGCAACGCTGGAAAATAGGGTCATTGTTTAAAAGAAAATTCCCTTAGTTTGGAAGAAATTTTTTAAATCATGTGAAGGAGAAAGATTTCAAACTTGAACTAATTTAATTTCTTTGAAATTATGAGCTATATGAAGGAAAAAATTTTTCAGGATGTTGACAGAGCTTGCAGTGTGGGTGCTTTGCTCGATCAGTGCCACTGGAACTAAGATGAGTGGGGAAAAGTGGTCCCTTTGCTGAATTGCAGTGTTTTGTTAGCAAGTGGGTATTCAGCTTTACCAGCGGATCTGGTGGGGAGACTTCCATCAGAGTCTAGCTGGTACCATTAGTCCTTCACCCTTGTAAACACTAAAAGTTCATTGCTTGCCACCAGTCTAGAAACATAGATTGTAAAGAATCCAAGTGAAAAGTTGTCATCTTAGGTTGACCTAAAGCATTTTTATTCTTTTTCTAGATGTACAGGGGCTTCCAGATAATGCCACATGTTCAGTACATCTACACAGAAGCCTCTGAGAGTCTTTGTGGAGTCAAGCTGGAGGTCAACAAGTACCAGTACCTGATTACAGGTAAAGGACAGTGTAATTCTTCATAATCAAAACCTCTTCTGTTCTATACATATATCTACTAAGGACATGGGCAACTGTGTAGACAGCTCTATACACAGCTTTTCAAGTGTTAAGATGGCCAACAGTATTTTGATGTTCAGTACTTTTTAATGCTGAGAGTCATTTTCCTCTCTCCCTCCTAAAATATCTCTTACACCCATTGATGTTGTGACAAACACACTCTATGACAGTCCACAGCTGTCAATTCATGCCTGACCTGGTGTCTGTCACGGGAAACTGCTTGCAACTTGGCTGTGCTAGAAATGGAAGGTCCATTTTGGAATGAGCTTTAGAAATGCAGGCTTCTGGGATGAGGGGATGCAAGGAGACAGAGATGTAGCAGTTTTCAAGACTTTTTTTTAGTGAAGATGTCAATTCACTTTGCTCTGGTTTTGAGAGGATCTTGACAGCATTACTCACCTGCATGTTGCTGCTGATGCTTACAGCTTACAGCTCTTATTTAACTTAGAGCAGTGCTGTAATCTTGCTGGCCAGAGATTCCTGAACCAGTTAATACAAAGAAAGCAGTTGCAGAGCAGTGACTGGAGCCAACATATTGAGAGCATCAGCAATCTTGGGAAACGAGAAAAGTGCTTGAGCTAAGTGCCAACTTGTGACAATGTCTCTGTTCTCAAGGCCGTGTGTATGAAGGGAAGGTTTACACTGGCCTGTGCAATTGGTATGAGAAATGGGACCGGCTGACTCTGTCCCAGCGTAAAGGACTGAATCATCGTTATCATCTTGGCTGTGGATGCAAGGTATGTCTGTCTCTAATTAGGTGGAGTAAGACATTCAAACACTAGAATTCTGTTTTCCCTGGTTGGTAATACCAGTGATGCTGGTGAACAGCCAGGAAAAGAAAGGGAGGAGAGCAGTTTTTACAGGGAAAATGTAAAACTCAGCTTTAGTGTTGAGACCAGAGAATAGTCAATCAAATAAAAAATGTAGAGTTATGCCTTTTTAATGCCCTGTTAGAGTTAATAGGTTTGGGGAAGGCTTTCAGAAGCCATACAGACTCATTTGCAGGTGAATGTAATCAGCTACCAAAGGCTTGGCAAAATATGTCCAACTTCTTTCCTATTTAAACATTTTGAGGGCTTAAAACCTCACAGCCTGGTACTGGCACTAAGATTTTTGCTCATGGCCCCAGGCCTGCAAAAACGTAGACACAAGTTCAACTTTTCTGTACCTGAAAAGCCCTTTTGACAGTGGAAGTACCTGTGTACGTGAAGGTAAGCACATGCTTATGTGCTTACTAAACTGAGGCTGAATTTTGGGTTAGTAAGCAAGATTTGAGGGAGTTGAATTTTGAATCCCTTGTCTCTGGTAAAGACATTTTCTATAATGTTGTTTTTATGTAGTCTTACCTGATTGCTCTTTACAATTGCAGATTAGGCCCTGCTACTATTTGCCCTGTTTTGCCACCTCCAAGAATGAATGTATTTGGACAGACATGCTCTCCAACTTTGGCCACTCAGGATACCAAGCGAAGCACTATGCCTGCATTCAGAGGGCAGAAGGTTACTGCAGTTGGTATAGAGGATGGGCGCCTCCAGATAAAATGATAATCAATGCCACAGATCCCTGAGCATGTTTTATGCCTTCCTTATCTCCCCTCTTCCTTACTTGTGGCTGATCTTCCTTTGGACAATAACTCTTACCAGATCATGATGATGACAATGAAATTAGTGCCTGTTTTTGCAAATTTTAGCACTTCAAACACTTAAAAAAGAAAAGGAAAAAAAAAAAAAGTCTGTGCTACCTTACTGAATTCGTATTCACCTATTCCATTTTTTGATACCACTCATTTTGATCAGATGACATTTGGGAGCTTACTTTTGCACACCAGAGAGAAAAATGGGAGTTAAAAAAAAAAAAAAGAAAAAATGGAGCTCTTGCTCTCTTACATGTATCATTAGCCATAGCAATATAATCTCTATTTTTTTAGGAAAACAAAAGTCTAAAAACTATGCCAATTAGGCACTGTATTCTTCCATGCTCTGGCTTCTCGTCACCCCTCCTTATGCACTAAGTGCTGAAAATATGTAGACAAATCTATTCAAAGGAAAACGGGTTTCATTAATCAGATTGGCAAACTGAAAAGAAACCCAGCTCTCTGGAAAAAATGATGTCCAAAAGAAATCATCCTCTATGGGAAAGACTGACAATGTGATTGACTCCAGCAGTGGGAGAATTCACCTGGTGTGTTTGACTGCGTCATCTGGTGAAAGCATTGTTGAGTGATTGTCCTAGCTAATTTAGTCACAGTGTGAATGCAGCAGCACATTTGAAATTCTGGCTTTCCCCAGAACAAAAGAGAGAGTATTTTGTATTGTTGTTTAAAAAACAAAAAACCAATTCCTATGTTCAGGGAGGTAAATCCACTTACAGCAGAGCAGATGAAGTGCTGTGCCATTCTGTTTTGAGCAGCATTGGCCCCTCAAATTTTTTCAGCTTAGCTTCAACAGCAAAACCAGCTTGTGAACACCTTAAACCAAACAGATGCAAAAATACCAACTTTAAATCAATCATGTGGAAGAGTGAAAGGGGAGACTTGCTAGAGCTCTTACTATAAAAGAAATCTATTGCCAAAATAGTGTTTTGCTGAGCTAAGATGTATATACATATAATGACATAAGCTATTTTTGACAGGGCATCAATATTTTTGTGTGTGTTACAAACAAAAGAATGGTTTGATTGTGTTCTAAAGACAGAAATATTGACATTCCACGTCAGTGAGTTGTTTTTAAGATATTGAAGCTCCAGTGTATCTGCAGTAGTGGCTACAGTCATTGTTTCCTCTGTACCTTCTTGCACCACTGTTCCTCCCCTGCAGCTATACTAGCTGCATTTCTTTATACAGTGAAAGGAAGTTGGGGG